TGGTTTCATTCTCGAGCTATCGAAAATGGTTATGTAGTAACGTAAGGAACGATTCGCCATCTAATACTATTGATTGATTGCAATGGTAAACATGTATCCATGGCTGCATAAATGGTTTAGTCGAAAAATTATTTTGTTACACGTGTACAAGACAAAAAATAATCCGTACATAATTGCAGATTACTAAAGTCTGCAATCAAAGAACATAACGGATGTCCGGAGAGGATTCGATTTGATTTCGGGAACGAGAATAGTGTAGTAAAGGAAATGCAAATGCAACTCAGAAGCAGGGGTCGTGATTGCTTTTCAGCTGAGATTCAATTCTGGATGGATATATTCTGGAAATTACAGCATGATGGTTACTTCACGGGAACATTTCTAGATAAAGTCTTGATCAGTTCTGCTCTGGTACCTTTGCAAGGAAAAAACGTCTTCATTTTATAAATATAAAGCCATTGTTCTTGGACCTAATAAGTAGAGTGGATAACGTTGCTAAGCGCTCACCCCAGAGTAATTTCGCTGTTAATTGGCTTATTAGGAACTTTCCAGATTTAGCAGTATTTTTTCAATCCATAAGGACATCTCTACTTTCCATGTCTATATGAAAATGCGACAACCCATCTTTAAACTTGACACCATTTTAGCAAGGATTACCATGCAGATCTTACTACTTTGAAGCAATCACACACATCCACTTTTAGATAACAGTACTGTCGATATAACTCTGTGTCAGAAAGATCTAGACAAGATTTCCTACGTCTGGAATAACCACAAAATCCGAAAGTGAACAAACAATACAGCTTTACCATGCGGTCGACCGTTTTAAATGTACAACATGCCAGATATATATGGTGGTGTGGATTGTAAAAAGAATCGAACAAGACATTTACCAAGACTTGTTAAGGTTGTGTGTGCCAAATGGAAACCCTTGTAGTGATGAAGTGTTTGATCATTGTTGATATATGAATCACTTTACACTTATATATATCACTCACTTTACACTAATATACATCACCTTACACTATATTATACATCACTCTAAACCTGCCTTAACTACAATACATTACTCTACACTACTATACATCATCAAAATTTATAGTAGGGCAGAGTGAGGTATGGTATATATATATATATATGATTTTGATTTAATTCTGAGAAGTATGTCGAAATTAAATGAATATAATTTATTTCGAGAAAAGTATGTCGAAATTAAAAAATCAATCGGTTTAATTTCGACATAGTAAGTTAAATTAATGATAATATAATAATTTTTTTCTTCTGTAAATATGGCCCCAGACGCTTCTGACGATGAATGGCTGTTTAGAATAAAAGTTTATCAATTAACCCAAAAAATGCTATCAAAAGTTCTTTTTAAATTGACACTTCATTATTGTCTGTATATTATTACCAATTATAAAAACCACAATAACCAAATTAGACACGAGATTAACATGCCACAGAATAGTCAAGGGGGTCTTTGCTAGTGGATCATCTTACTTTGTATTTACATAGACCATATAGAAATTAATATCTGTATCAAAATTGAATGCAAAAATTTAAAACGAAAAATAGACCATCAATTTTAGAAGCAAATTTCATCATTACAATATATGTCTGAAATGGAAAGCTTTTTATTAGCAAAGGGAACAATATAATTAGTGACAAAATCCATAAAGCATTGAACACATAGTTCACTGACGGACATGGGATACCACTTGGACACCACAATGGACTTGGTAGTTATAAATATATGATTCCTGTCAATTAATGGACATTAGTGACCACTAATAGATCTGGCAATTCAAAACACAAATCCAAACACCAGATATGTGACACCACCCGCAGACTTACTTATTTGAACCTTGAGCGCAGAAGACTGACGGACATGGGAAGCCACCAAAATTCATTCAGTTGACTGACGGACATGAGTGATTATAGCGGACTAACCAATTTAAAAACTTGCGCTGACTGATGGACTTGAGAAACCACGAACAGACTTATCACTTCAAAAACCTATGTGCAGATGGACGTGGTCAACCACCAAGAGACTGTCCAATTGATTTACGTATTTGCAGTAGTTAATATAATTTAACATCATACACTCACTTATGATTGATACTTCCTCATCTGAAAAGTCCATTAGCTACTACCAATGTTTCGTCAAAATGTTGTTTTGGATTTTGGGCTTCGTTTTGCGATTTGTATCGTTAGTACTTTTATTGTTGATCGGCAATGCGGGGTCTTTGAGTACACTTAGGGATTTTAATTTTTTTTAAAATCTAAACGTCAGAGAAACTAACAGACGCAAGTGACCATAAACAGGTTTGACAGTTGATACAAAAACTGACGGACACAAGTGATTACCAATAGACTGAATGATCAGTTACCCCCCTTGAAATTGGAAATTGGTTTTGTTTTTGCCTTTCTTTTTGTCTACTAGGGTTACTATATTTACTATTCTAGAACCCAATACAACTTAAATACATACTTACTCGATATAATTTTTTTTTAATTACAGGTTTCGTTTTGCAAACCTCAATCGTTAATAACCTACTTGCCAACTTGGTTTATTTATTTTAGCACCGACTTAGCTTTTTAAATATTTCATTTCACTAAGCAACATTGCAATATTTATATAATGTTCATTTACAACGATTGTAAATGTATGAAAGGCCTTTATATTTCAAGCAAGTGATATTATTTCGATTCTTAGTTTTCAATAAATATATTATAATAGTTAATAGGCTAATATCTTTTACAATATAGACTGCTCTTCAGAGTGTATATATACCTAGAGGCATTAAAAATTCAAACCCATTTACTTACTGAACTGATTCGGGGTTATAACAAACCCATATTAAAGTTGGATCAATGTTCCACGAAAATGACATGTTAATAAAAGAGTATTTATATATATTTATCATAGTGTGTTGAGACATATTAACCCAATTCAGTATTATGCGTAGCAACATACGCCCTATTGGGTCGTGTTTTGTTAAATAGAAACCAAAAGTGTAACATTCGTTTGAGTGGACTAAATGTGCTTCTTGCAATTTTCACACAGAAATGTATTACAGAACTCCCTTTCTCCTATTTTTTACTTTTGTTGATTTAAAAACTACATTAGTTACCTCCTTTATTATAAATTGGAATTAGGAAATGATATAATGGTTTTTCTGTTAGACAAAAACTGCTATAACTTGGCAATATTTCGTCAGAATTGAATTGCGAATTGAGAAAGTAATATTGTCGACATCGTAACTACATGTATACTGCGATATCAGCTTAAGCTACCTATGACAGCTAATACTATGGCGTGAAAGAGTAACTCTAAGCTCGCTTAGTAATGGCAAATCTTCAGAACTTCAGAAAAAATACAAACCCGGGAAGAGACTATTCAATATTCACATGTTAATAATCGGTAAAAAAAAATGAGTTGAAAGAATCTTTTGATGCGATGACAGAATTTTGTTTGCGGTTTTTTTTTTAGATGTTGCATCTTCTTTCTACAAATTAGCAAAAGTCCTATCTTTGAAAAAATAGAAAATGATGAAACCTCTTCCTCTACAACAACCTCTAGTATACTGATCATATGGAAACAAACAAAAACATATTACAGCGCATTTAAAAAAAATCCATGTTTCTTATGACCTGAATAAGAGGCATAAAAATGTCTTGCCTCTTGATTTATTTGGCCACAATATTTCCATACATACATGTTATTAATTCTTAGTTAATGCACTTGGTGATATTGTTACAAATACAAATTCGACCATATCGCTAATCTACCAGACTCAAAGCAATATCATAATATTGTTGTTATTCTTAGAAACACAATGACACCTTTATGAAATTGGGGAGCGATAAGTAGTTTTTTTGTAGTGTAAATTACTGTTGTTTTTCGGAAAATTATTTCGTAATAATCGAGACATCCAGTTTGATTTTGACGAATGCAAAGGGTCTAAATATTGCTTCATTTACCATGGGAGAGGCTGGTAATTATCGATTCAACTACAAAAAACAACCCATCTTTTTCAATACTTGTACCAATAATTGTGCCATAGGTAACATTATTGATAAGCCTTAAGTTATTTTCTTTCATATAATCCGTTTTTGAGTCGTGTTTTTAAGCTAATTGGTGTTCAGGGTGTAAAACGAATAGATTTTACTCCCATTTTTTATGTACAAAAACTCACTTTGGTCCGTAATATATTGATTTAAGGAATTAAAAACCATCTTTAAAGGTCTTTAAACAACATACACAAGCTAACACTTGTCCTATCGCAACTTCCAATTATTTAGTAGACCAGATTGACAGACCAATTAATAAATGATTATGCTACTATAGCCACTCAAGGCTATATATCGAATAGATCAACAAATAAAATATTCGACGATCTCCATTGGTTGGCCTTTGTTAATTGTGTTTTTATATAACAATTAATGGGAAAAGTAAAATCTTTAGAGAAAACACCTTGTGGTATCGCCAACAGTTTATTGGATATATCGATCAAGTTAGACTTGAAGTAGTACCACGTCAAAGGTAGGTGATATATTAACAGTATCATATCAGATTTATTAAGTTTTAAAATTTAAGATGTATTAAGATAGCTTCTTAGGCAAGGTAACATACGCCCATTACCAGCTATCTAAAAAAGATAACAAAAGTCTTAAGTGCCTTAATGAACTTTCAAAAAATCTTAAAAATGTATTTTAGTCGACGCAAAACCTAAAAAACAGTTCCATTAAATTGTCATCTAATTCAAACAGGTCTCATTGACGTAATCCAATCATTACCAATTTTCCCTCTATGATGTCTACAAGCCGAATTTGACAGGTCAGAGGTAATAACTCTCAAACCGTTCATCCGATCATTACCAAATTCGACCTTGACCGAGATCTCATCAAGATATACAAACATACATAAGTTTCATCACGGTCAATCAAGGGAAGAAACCTTTCATCCAATCATCACCAAATTCGAGCTTGACTGTGATCTCATGCATATCAAGTCTCAAGATCAATTAAAAACTGAAGCCTCTATTGCGTCTACAAGAAATGTGAACGGGCGGGCCGACGGACAGGGTAGCGGCAATGTACGTCCACAATTCCATACGATTGAAGTTTGTTATTCGGCGGAATATATGAGACTGAATCGTTTCTTGGGAACCGAAAAACTCGCAAAGTCAAATGGGCAGACATTCATTTACGTAATTCACAAAGGACAGGTTCGAAAAAACATTCAATCTCTTTAAACAATGTCGTAGATTTCAATATACTGGATATTTCTACTATATAAACTACGTGATTTTGTTGTTATATATTTTAGATCGTAACGACGATGATTTTGAAGACGACTATTTTGATGTGTTGTTGTTTTTTGGTATTTGGTGAATGGCAGAGTATATTACCATGGCAAGTTAAAACAACTTTATTAGAACTGTCTGATCAGTTTGATATTCAATCTGTAAGAGGTAAGATCTGTGAACTCACCAAACTTTATTCTGATTCTATTATCATTTTATTTATATACATATATATTTAATATCCAACATTAACTCATAAGTGGATTCTCCGAAACGAATAGCGAGTTTTGTAACATTGGTTTTAAATTTTGAGTGCCACGGCGACATATACTTTATCCATAATACGCTATTGATTTTAGGAACACCCAAACAAATTTATAGACACGATTTAACAGACGATTATGTAGCATATTGGTATATAGAGATTAATAATGATGGATATGTTATTCTATCATCCAGTTCCAAAACAGGTAAGATGATTGAATGCCACTTGTGATTGTTTACAATCATTTCTCCAATTTTATTATCTTTTTATCATTATTAAAGAAAATTAAATGAAGGTGAATTTGAAGGCAAATCGAACTTACCCTTTGCCAATAACAGTTACCTGACACCCTAACATTCACGGACCATAATAATGCATCATGTTTGTAACACTTCTGTATAAATATAGATAGGACTACAACTTACAACAATGTATAAAACATAATATAAAACAGGTCCCGTTAATATCTTCTCAGATCAGCAACGATATGACATGTAACTGTTTATTTGTAGGTGATTATAAACTGGTAATACAAGGTAGTGCACCATCAATGTTAGATCAAGTTGATAAAATGGCGTTGTTAAAGAAGAGTAAATGTAGTAAATATTATATGATGACCCCGACACCAGATATTGATATAGCTTGTTATTCTGATCATGAACAGATGATATTCCATAAGGTATGTTAACATTTTTTTGGATTAAGTTGTTTAGCGCTTTATTGGTATCGACCTGAAAATAGTTAAATTGAAACAAACCATGCCTGTTCTCGTGCTAAACGTCACTGAGCCTTTCACTTCAGAGAGATAGTTGTGAAAAGTATTGATAAATATATAGTATATAAATATGAATTTCAAGGAGAGTATTTATGAAAAGGACTGAAGTATTCTGAACTATTTTGATGCTAAATTATTACTTCCCCTGGTCCATCTCAAAAACTACTGAGACCGTGATTCAATGTATGAGACTGTATCATTTTCAAAAATGTTATAGCAATTCTGTATATTTCGAACTTGTGAATCAGCTCTGCCACAAGACCCCCAAAAAAGACCACACGGTCAATTAATGTTGCAAGCACAATTTTATCTTTCCAGAATAGCGTCCACTATACCAAAGGCGACTACAGTACACTTAAAAAACTGTGGGAAAACCAAAGACAAGATGTAACCAGGGAAGGTATCTGGGAAAAGTCCATATTTAATAAACATCAACAGGCCTCGTATTATCATGTTATCGAAGATAGTCATAAAATCGTCGTTGGCGACAACCATCAAATCGGTATCAAATCTATGAATGACGGAGAAGTTACCTCAGAAGAAAGTCAAGCTAAATTATGTGTCCTTCTTACGATTTGTCATCCCGATGATAATAAATTAGTAGATTCTTCCAAGTTTGGTAAAACCAAGTATGGACAGACTTTCCTTGAGATATATGAACCAGAAAAATCTAAGAACGTTCATCATTTTGAAATCGCTGGACAGGACCAAGGCGAAGAATATGGACGGAAATTGATGATCGACACACTTCAGAGGCAGAAGCGTCAAACCACCAGCTGGACCTACTATTCCATCAATGATGAAAATCTCTTTCCTGATTACAACCAACACGAGCACGACTGTAAACCAAATGGAAAATGTTGCGCAGTTGGTTGTGGCCCAGTGGCCTGGGCTATGATTTTAGGTTATTATGATCGACGGTCTCATGAAAAGAGCGGAACATACGGTACCGGAAGTCAGTCGCTATACGGATGTGGCACAGATGCTACATTCGGATCTTATAGTTGTAAAGCTCCATCATATACATCTAGCACAGTCAAGAAGTTGACAGAATACCTCAACGATGATCTGAAAACATTCTGTATCACTGGACAAGGGGCAACTACGCAGGGTAACATGAAGAAAATTGAAAGATATTTCAATTCTCATCAAACCTCGGGTAGCCCCTCTGTAACGATCCACACTAAGGGGCTTTCTAGTCTAGTTGGAACATATAATGACGGCATTCGAGATTCAGCTTTGAGCTACCTTCGTTCTAAATGGCCAGTTGTTGTTGGTATTAGAGTTAGTGGCATATTTTCACAACACTACCCTGTTGCTACTAAATACAGGATTCGACAAAAACGGGAATGCAAGAAGAACCTCTGGGGCAAGACGAAATGCAAGAATATAACAGAGAGAGACATGTACCTACACATGGGTTGGGGAGGAAGTAGTAATGGTTGGAGGGCAGCTAAAATGTTCTTCGCTGGCGTTGCCCGCTACTGAATTTTATTTCTATGCAAAACAGTTTTTCTTAATTGTATATGCCTAAAACGCTCTTCCATTATTTCTTGTCTTCTTATACATGAAAAGAATATAACCGCTATATTTGATTTTAATATATATTATTTTTCTTTGCTTCTAATAAACAACAAACATTTTATAGCACATTGGTTTTATTTCATCTAACATTGATGACGTACTACCAATACAACAATGAGACAAAAGAACACAGTTATAAGTATTTACCAGTCAAAAGTTAACGGGAATTTTTTTTTATGTCTAATTTCCTATATTAGCATCAATATTACTCGTTTACAAGCTTATGAAAAATTTACTTGTTTCAACTTTTGCGGAGTTTTACAGGCATAGGTTTCAGGAGAGTTTTGTCTTGAGCAGATCTAGTTACACGAATAGGGTTGTGAAGAGTAAGGAGTTCAGAAAGATATTTTGGAGCTAAACCATTCAAACATTTGTAAACAAGTAACAATACTTTAAATTCTAGTCTATATTGTATAAGGAGCCAATGGAGGTATAGAATAGGAGTGATATGGTCGGTTTTTCGTTTTAAGGAAATCAGACGAGCTGCCGTGTTCTGAACCCTTTGAAGTTTATTAATGTGCTTTACTGGTAAACCAATGAGAAGCGAGTTGAAATTATTTAGCCTCGATGTAACAAAGGCATGTACTAATGATTTCGTGGCATCAGTTGTTAAGGTTAAAACAAAGAACACATGCTTTGACTAGCCACCAAATAAATCCATATCTTATCTATTCATATACACAGATAAAACAGTTTCATCTGAGCTTCCACCATACAAACAATTGGATTTCGGCCGGGGTTGACAAGTTTTGTCCAGCGTAGTTTTAACCGTCCCGTACAAAAGTAATCAAAACTAACTAAAGGGACACTGTTTATTCCTTAATACAAGACAATTAATCATATGCAATTTCCAAGTTATAATTTTTGTATTATACCTTGATATTACATATATGCACATACAGAAAGTATGATGGAAATTATATCAAGCCACAGGCTCCAATACTGAAATTAATACATAGTTAAATCGATAACCTGTGACCTAGGCCAGTGCTTCTATAGCAGAGTATCTAGTATAACACCCAAAACCGATAGTAAAATGAAATATATCTTTAAATGTAGCTTTTAATATGATGGTAATAATAAAAATAATGTGACAAAGATACTCAACCTATTTATTACATTCAGTTGTGTCTCCAACAGTCCAACACAGACTTTATACTTGACAGGCTTAAATGCAAGAGACCTATTGTTCATTTTTGTCGCCAATAGACTCGGATGAGCGAGAAAATGTAAACAATAGATTCTGTTTATTACAGAGTTTCATGAAAGAGTTTTTTATGGGTAAAATCCTGATTTTGGCAGGTTTTCTTCTTCAATACAAGGTGAAAACTGTAGTAGTATAAACTGTAACTCGTGATTTTCACCTATATAATAGTGCCAGCGCGAAACAGACCATGCTTACTTATTGTACTTACCTGATTGTACTTCTCGCTTGAGGAGTCCACTACTATACAATTGTTCTTCCGAGTTTTGTCTTGCTTTGGACGAGATATTTGGTTTACGGAATTGTTTTGCTTGAGCAGATTTTCGTATTTAAAATTACCTTTATCTCTCCTGACTTACGATCCAAGTCGGATTTTAGGATTTAAAATACACCGTCCCATGTCTTTAATTCTGAGAAACATTTGATATCACGGATAATTGTAGTAGATTAGAAATTAAATGGCTGTATTTTAACGGATTTATATTTTAATTATGTACATGACGAATTTGACTATCCAAGATATGATTTAGTTGTTGTTTTACGGTTGAATATTTATTGTTGTTTAATACACCATATATGACACCTTTAAAAATCAAATACAAACATGACGACCCGGATCATGTTAGCAGATTAACTTGACCACACACACCAAATCTAGTTCAATGTTCTGTTTCACTGATTTTGACGTCATTCAGAGTGTATAACACAGGGCTATTATAGTAGTCTTATCCTGTTTAGGGACATGACCTCTTACATATGAAGACTAAAATATATTTCACTGGCCACCGCAATGTTAATATTAATGGAGCTCAAATTCAATGGACTGTTTGTATATTTCAGCTTATATGTTACAAAAACCTCTGTGCCCTGCCCACTTTCCAGAAGAGCTTCGCCCTATTGGTGTGTAATAATTATACCAATTAAATTGGTAATGTGAAAATTTCAATTATCCTGGAACACTTTTAATCATTTGCACTAAGATCAAAATTGACAATAAAAATTACCTCCCATAACAATTTATAAATAGACGACTCCGTCTCATGATTTTTAATCTGTGAAGTGTCGCAGGTATCTTAATTGACAGATATTAGCACTTCAAATAAAGATTTATACCACTGCATCCCTTCAAGAGGGTATTTTTTTTTAACTCTACGTGTACACGGATGTATTTAAGGGAGCAAACAACCAATAAAATATCTCAACAAATGCTATTGGTTGTCTACTGTCTATTATATTTGTATATAGGTTAACAGGGAAGATATGAACAATCTATAAAAAGGACGATCTTTGTAAAATCCACCAGAAAATTGTATTTGATGTATCGACGGATTCAGAAAAAATATTAAGTCAAAGATAGGTGATAACATGTTAATTTTCTTAGGTTTACTTTCAGATGAAAGAGAACACGGGTTCTGCTAATATAAATATAAAACAGGTATGTATTAGAGCAAGTTGCGTTAGATTATATGGACAAAAACTAATGTTCATACTTTTAGATTGTGATGTGTTGTTGTTTTTTGGTATTTGGTGAATGGCAGAGTATATTACCATGGCAAGTTAAAACAACTTTATTAGAACTGTCTGATCAGTTTGATATTCAATCTGTAAGAGGTAAGATCTGTGAATACAGAAAATTTCATTTGCTTTACTATTTTTTTTATATTTACGATATATATATAGATTTATAGTTTTTTTCATTAATCAATTGTAATGCACCTGCATTTCAAACCAACTTTTACCTTAAATTCCATCGGATTGATACTACAATATACTTAAATGCCATTGATTTTAGGAATACCGAAACCAATTAAAAAAATATTCATTAAATCAATTGAAACACACTTGAAATTAAAGCCAATTTCTACCTCGGAATAAATATACTTTTATTCTGTTGCTTTTAAGGTACACCAAAACCAATTTATAGACACGATTTAAGAGACGATTATGTAGCATATTGGTATATAGAGATTAATACTGATGAATATGTTATTCTATCATCCAGTTCCGAAACAGGTAAGATGATTGAATTAGAGCAAAGCAACAAAGGGGTATTGTTTTTATTGAAGAAGTGTTCAATTGGCTACCGATTTGACCATGTTCATTACTTCACTTTAAATGTAAAACAATCGGTCTTTTGACGATGTACACCTTCTTTCTGATCCGTATGAAATGACGAAAGCTTTGACTGTTCGTGATAACATTACTTGTTTTTTGGGGGGTTAATTATCATCCCATGTATTGGTGTAGAATAAATCATATTGGACGTAATTTGCTTTTTGTTACTAAAACAATACAAATAGCCGAAAGGTGAACAGAGATACCAACCGTAAATTGTTGGAGGACTAACTTTATGGCATACCAAATCTTTAGAAAACAATGCACGAGTCTTTTTTTTATTTATAAAAAATCGATATCTGAACTGTTTATTTGTAGGTGATTATAAACTGGTAATACAAGGTAGTGCACCATCAATGTTAGATCAAGTTGATAAAATGGCGTTGTTAAAGAAGAGTAAATGTAGTAAATATTATATGATGACCCCGACACCAGATATTGATATAGCTTGTTATTCTGATCATGAACAGATGATATTCCATAAGGTATGTTAAATTCTTTACTCACATTAATAGTAGATCAGACACTGATCCTTTAAAAGATTAGCTAAGTTAAAACATATAAGGTATTCATAACTGCAACAAATTGAAAAATATGATTCAGAATGCACTAAAATGAATTCAATTTTTCAAGATTTATCAAGAACCCTCTTAGACTCTCCATGAGAGGATTGCGACTATGACGCCTCCACAAAATAGCTAGAATTTTAAATTCAGCCTCGGCAGTTGTCCTCTCGTTAGTTGCAATGCCACTGCTTCTCTTTAACTGAACCAAGTCGCAGCCTGAATTTAGTAATCATAAAATGTGTAGATATATTGTTGTTATTTCCCTTTAGTACTCTGAAATTTTTATCAGTGTATCGATATACCACTCAAAAACGTTTATTGTGGGACTTTGCTTCCGCAAAGTCCCAGTTTGTTATCGAAATGTCAATTCTTTTTGTGGGACTTTGCTATCAGCAAAGTCCCAGTTTGTTATCGAAATGTCAATTCTTTTTTTTTTTTTTGCAGGGCGTTCGTAAGCGAACGCCCTGCTTTGTTTTCGTATTGATTTTTTTTTTTTCGTCAGCTAGGGAGCTTATTTCTCGGAACCAGAAATAGGTACGACAAAACGGACTTCATGACGTTTTCTAACTCGTGGCTATTCACGTATTAAATGTAAAACGAAAATGTTCTGCGCAACCGGAAGTGAGATAGCAAAAAACCGGAAATGGACTGTAGAGGGCGTATTTATCGTTCGATTTTTCTCGGGTTTCCTTTATTATAATTCTTAGTAGAAAGGACATATGATAGCAGTTGAAAATATTCGATTTTCCAAAATTCGTTCGATACCTTTTTTTTTGTCGAAATTAATCGAAAAATGCTATTTCAGTTGCTTTTTGACGGATCGATTTGAAATTTTTATGAAGTAGACCGTCGGTATGGGCAAATAATTCTGCATAGTCAAAAAATGTTCATCACTTCCGGTTTCGATATCAGTACTTCCGGTGGCATCACTTCCGGTGAAATTGAGTTATGTCAGAAATGACATATGCATAAGCTTAGTGTTACTAATACAAAGTGTTACAACTAAAAAAATTCGTACCGCAAGTAACATATAGGTCGCCATATTGGTTTGCCTTAATATGCAAAACTTGCTATTTTGGAGCTATTTATTATCCGATTTGAACAATTTTGGTGTTAAATGATAGAATTAACGTTTATCTAAAACTTGTTGAGGACAGAATTTTGATTTTCGGTTTTGCCTTTTTTGTACGACAGGATATTTTTTTTCAAAGTTTGAAGGCTTATATCTCATGACCTTGACCTTTGGTGACCTTCATATTTACTATGTTGATAAATTATGACCTTGAATATCTGATGACCTTTTGACCTTTGGGGTCAGACAACCATTTTCGATTTTATAGGAGTTTAAAAATGGTCCATTTTGAGCCTTTGCAGTGCTGTATCTCGTAGCCTAATAGTGATATGGCAATAATTCTATCGAATTCATAATGCTGAGATTCTGAGCTTTCCAGTGATATACAACATGTCTATGTAACATGCATATTTAAAAATTACATTCGTTTAACATTGTGGTATCAAATTTAAGTTGGTTAATGAGATGTCAGTATAGATAAAATTCCTGAGTTTGACATGTCCGTTAAAGTACCATTCTCCCCAATTTCTATCAGAAAGTTCGTCAACTCCAGGCTCTTTGGGATATTTGCATTTAGAGATGCAGAAAAGTACCTACATCCATGTAATTGCAATAGACCAACTTCGTATGTACCCGAATGTCGTAACACGCCCTGCATCAGTACTGTTATTAGTACAGTTCTAGTTTTTTTTTTCGTCTACGGCAGGCCGGTTTTCTCGGCAACGGCAACAGGTACGGGAAAACGGACTTCATGGCGTTTTATAACTCGTGGCTAATCACAGTTTAAATGTAAAACGAAAATTTTCTGAGCAACATTATGCAAAATTGCAACAAACGGAAAATGGACTCTAGAGGGCGTGTTTATCAACCGATTTTGATCGGGTTTTCTGCATCGTATTTCTTGTAACAAAGGACAAATGATAGCAGTTGAAAATTTTCGATTTTCGAAAATTCGTTGCATACTTTTTTTTGCCGAAATTAATCGAAAAATACTATTTCGGTTGTTGTCGGACGGATTGACTTGAAACTTACGTGGTGTAGACCGCCAGCATAGAGACGTAAAAGTACACATTCAAATTTTTTTGATCACTTCCGGTTTCGATGTTAGTACTTCCGGTGGTATCACTTCCGGAGGAATTGAGTTATGTCAAAAATAACATATGCATTATGTTACCAGCCTTAATACAAACTTATTAAACTAAAAAAATCCGCACCGGAAGTAACATGTTGGCCGCCATTTTGGTTTGCCTCATTTTGCAGAAATTGCTATTCAGAGGCCATTTTTCATCCGATTTGCATAACATTTGTGTCAAACGATACGTTTAATGTCTGTCTACAATCCTTAGGCAGCATAATTTTGATTTTCGGTTTTGCCTTTTTTGTACGACCGGATTGTTTTTTTCAAAGTTTGAAGGCGTATATCTCATGACCTTGACCTTTGATGACCTTCATATTTACTGTGATGATAATTTGTGACCTTGTCTATCTGATGACCTTTTGACCATTGGGGTCAGATACCTATTTCCGATTTTACAGGGGTCTAAATATGGACCATTTTGAGCCTTTAAAGTGCTCTATCTCGGTCCCTAATAGAGATATGGCAATAATTCTTTCGATTTTGTAATGTAGAGATTCTCAGCTTTCCATAAATATATAACATGCATACCTTACATGCAAATTCAAAACTCCATACACTTAACATGGGTTATTATTAGATAAATCGGCTAATTAGATTAACCTGGCTGTCAACCCCAACAGAAATCAAATTTTAAGTTGTTTTAAAGATACCCTGCCTTTTATATTTCTTAAAAATTATCTTTGTCCAGTTATGGTATAAAGTTAAGCTCTCAGGTGGATTGAATCATGTCATATTTTAGTTTAAGCTCACGGCAGCATATTGAAGGTATACCTCCACTTAATTTACCAACTTTCTCATTTCTTATCCGATTTTCATCAAACTTGGTATGTATGTGTATAAACAAATTCTAAATTTGATAGAAATATCGAATTTGCGTAGTGCGCATGCGCATTGCCAACTTTCTTATTTATTATCCGATTTTCATCAAACTTGGTATGTATGTGTATAATCAAATTCTAAATTTGATGGAATTATCGAATTTGAGTAGTGCTCATGCGCATTACCAACTTTCTTATTTCTTATCCGATTTTCACCAAACTTGGTATGTATGTGTATAAACAAATTCTAAATTTGATGGAATTATCGAATTTGCGAAGTGCGCATGCGCATTGCCAACTGTCTTATTTATTATCCGATTTTCATCAAACTTGGTATTTATGTGTATAAAGAAATTCTAAATTTGATGGAATTATCGAATTTGCGTAGTGCGCATGCGCATTGCAAACTTTCTTATTTATTATCCGATTTTCATCAAACTTGGTATGTATGTGTATAATCAAACTCTAAATTTAATGGAATTATCGAATTTTTGTTGAGCGCATGCACATTACCAACTTTCTTATTTCTTATCCGGATTTCATCAAACTTATTCTTTATTAATTGACAAATATTCTTTTATTCCTAGTAAATATACTTTAAACTTCAGGCACTTTTGGATATTTGCTTTTAGAGATGCAGAAAGGTATTTACATAAAGTAATTGCAATAGACCATCTTCGTATGTACCTGAATGTCGTAGCCCGCCCTGCATCAGTACTGTTATTAGAACAGTTCTAGTTTTTTTTTTTCGATTTTTACACACCTTCCTGAGCTTAGACTACAATAGTTGCAGCAACCATTCAACATTCACGAACCTTAGATATAGGCGACGATGTGCATAAATATATTTTGGATCTTTTTTGCAAAACCGGAAGTGCCACAGTTCAATATGTGCAAGAATAGATTATCGGCTCTAGAAGTCGTATTTTTTGGTCGATTTTCTTTGGGTTTGCAGTTTTGGAATCTACTGTTAAAATCTGAAAGAATAGCAGTTTCAAAATTTCAAAATTCGAAAATTTGTCGCAGACATTTTTTTTGCCAAATTTTGCATTTATTTCATTTTTTTTTGCTTTTTGTCTGATTAATCTGAAAAAAAATGAGCAAAGACAGTTAAAGAATGTAAACAAAATGGTACAGTCAAATTTTCAATTTCAATTCCGGTTTAAACAGGAAAACGATGTTCACTTCCGGTTGAATATCTTCCGGTGTAATTTGTATAGGACAAAAATTTTTATGCTGATAGGTAGACAAAGTTATGACAAAAAAACGAAGAAAAAAAAATTCGGAAGAGACGTGAAACTTTGGCCGCCATTTTGATTTTTCTGAAATGATTCGATTTTTATTCAGACATAATGGCTCATCCGATTTAAATGATTTTGGTGTCAAATGATTTTATAGCTGTCCGAAAACAGCCAAATTCGCAACTTTGGACTGCTCTAGCACGTGACCTAATTAACCGAGAGGGTTAATTTTTTCGGATTCTTAATGTGCTTTTCATGCCCTTTCAAATGATTTATAACAATCGTTTTTTAAAGCAAAATTGAAATTCGTGAATTTTTCAAATTTGAGGTTTTTTGTACAATATTTCTGTTTCTTTGAGCTTGGTGTGTATATATCTTATGACCTATTTTATGTAGAAAATTGAAACTTGGAAAACAACAAAACAATTTGAATATGAATTAACCTATGACAAAAAAGTTGAGGTGGGCGTAGCCTATCCGGGTTGAATTACTAATTGTTTACATTTTGAGAAAGGGGCATAACTCGCATAGGATACATTTGTTCAAAAAGGAACTTTGCACACAATTACCTCATGATTTTGGCCAGTTTGTGTTAATAGGTCAATTGTTTCAGCTTTATAGTTCCAAAAAAGGAACGGGTTTTGAAATTTCCATATTTTCAATTTTCTATTTTGACCTTTATTGACTCTTGTTGACCTATATCTTTTGACCTGTATGATGTAGAAGCTTTAAATTTGGAACACAACATAACATTCAGAATATCAATTAACCTATGCAAAAGAAATTGAAGTGGGCGTAGCACATCCGGGTTAAATTATTCATTATTGACAATTTTGGCAAGGGAGATAACTCGCAACGTATACATTTGTTCAAAATGGAACTTTGCATACAATTACTTCATTCGTTAAGCCACGTTGTCTTAGAAGTTCGATTGTTTCAGCTTTATAGTTCAAAAAAAGGAACAGGTTTTGAAAATTCAAAATTTTCAATTTTTGACCTTGACCTTTTTTGACCCTGATTTTTGTAGGATCAAAGTTCATTCACATTGGCTATCTATTTATATTTTTATATTTGCTGTCCTATCTCAACTTCCGGTTTTATAGCCGTATATAATTAAAAATTTTGATGACTTGTATCTCGTAACCTTGACCTTTGTTGACCGTCTCCCTTTCAATGTCAAATGTCATTGACCTTGGCTATCTTCTGATACTTTCATTTGTGAGGTCTGTCTACTTCCGTTATAACAATCTTCCAAACAATTCTTCTCAACTTTAGACTGCTCTTGCGCGTGATGTAATTATCGTAGAAGGTTGATTTTTTCAGAGTCTTTTGCATTTTGCTACATTTGCAAAGTCCCACTCTGTGCCACGTGTGGCTCTAGTTTTTTTTTCGATTTTAACACACCTTCCTGAGCTTAGACTGCAGTAGTTGCAGCAATCATTCAACTTCCTGAACCTTAGATAATGGCAACGTTGTGCATAAATATAAATTGAAACATTTTTGCGCAACCGGAAGTGCTACAGTTTAACATGTGCAAAACTCGAAAATTGGCTCTTGAAGGCGCATTTATCCGTCGAATTGCCCGGGGTTTTCAATTGTAACATCCGGTGGCTAATGTCGACTAGATAGCACTTGAAAAATTTCGAAATTCGAAACTTTATCGCAAACTTTTTGCGATCAAATTTTTAAATTTTTTTGCTACTTTTTTGTTTTTGCATCGATTGATCTGAAATTTAAAATGCAAATAGACATCACTTAAGTAAATGATATGATACAGTCAGATTTTTTACGTCATTTCCGGTTTCGAAGTTTGAGTCACTTGAAGTCCAAAATCGAATTTGTCGAATAACTTCCGGTGAAATTTATCAAAATGAACAGAATTTCGTTGATCGATATAAAATTAAAATCTTTGGCCGATTTTAAAATAAAATTCCGACCGGAAGTGATACTTTGGCCGCCATTTTTATTTCCAACTTTTCTTAAATTCGAAATAAGTCCTTAGGAATAAACTAAATCTGCGTAATTTTGGTGTCGATGTAATCTGCTGTTAAAAGTCTACAAAACATTGGGAGCCGATTTTTGAATTTCGCTTTTGAATTTTTGCAACTTCCTATTGAATTTTTTCAAAGTTTGAAAGCTTATTTATTGTGACCTTGACCTTTGATGACCTTGACCTTCATAGGGTCAAAGGTCATTGACCTTGGCTATCATTTGATACTTTGACCTTTGACCTCCGACATGTACTTCCGGTTTTATGGCTATCCGTAAAAAGCCAAATTCGCAAATTTGGACTGCTCTAGCACGTGACCTAATTAACCTAGAGAGTAAATTTTTTCGGTTTCCTAATGTGCTTCTCGTGTACTTTACATAGATATATAACAATCGTTTTTTTAAAGCAAAATTGAAATTCGTGATTTTTTAAAATTTGAGTTTTTTTTACAATATTTGCGACTTTTTGAGCTTGGTGTATGTATATCTAATGATCTATTTGATATTTGCAATATAACTAGACACTTTGAATATGAATTCACCTATGACAAAAAAAACTTATGTGGGCGTGGCACATCCGGGTTGAATTACTAATTGTTTACATTTAGAGACAGGGCCATAACTCGCATAGGATGCGTTTGTTCAAAAAAGGCCTTTGTACACAATTACCTCATTCATTTGGCCAGTTTCTGTTAACAGCTCAGTTGTTTCAGCTTTATAGTTCCAAAAAAGGAACGGCTTTTTTACATTTGGATATTTTCATTTTTCGACTTTGACCTTTTGCTGACTTTTGTTGACCTATATCTTTTGACCGATATGATGTAGAAGCTTGAAATTTGGAACACTACATAACATTTTGAATATCAATTAACCTATGCAAAAAAAATTGAGGTAGGCGTGGCACATCCGGGTTAAATTACTCATTATTGACATTTTTGGCCAAGGGCATAACTCGCAAAGTATACATTTGTTCAAAATGGAACTTTGCATACAATTACCTCATGTTTTGAGCCACTTTGTCTTAGAAGTTCGGTTGTTTCCGCTTCATAGTTCAAAAAAAGGAACAGGTTTTGAAAATTCAAAATTTTCAATTTTTAACCTTGACCTTTGTTGACCTTGACCTTTGTAGGATCAAACGTCATTGGCATTGGCTATCAATTTATACTTTTATATTTGCTGTCCTATGTCAACTTCCGGTTTTATAGTCTTGTGCAATTAGAAATTTTGATGACGTATATCTCTTGATCTTGACCTTTTAGACCTTCTCCTTTACAAGATCAAAGGTCATTGACCTTGGCTATCTGCTGATACTTTCATTTGTGAGGTCTGACGTCTACTTCCGGTATTAGAATCTTCTAAAAAATGAAAATTTCTCAACTTTAGACTGTTCTTGCACATGATCTAATTATCGTGGAAGGTTGATTTTTTCCGGGTCTTTTGCAATACACTACATTTGCAAAGTCCCACTCTGTGCCACGTGTGGCTCTAGTTTTCTTTGCTGTCAAACATTATGCATATAAGGACACAAAGTGATTATTAATTCAGTTATTAATTTCTCTTCAGAGATCTTGTCACTAAGATTATAGGCACACTAGAATGTTTCTATTTTCTTTTCCAGAATAGCGTCCACTATAGCAAAGACGACTACAGTACACTCAAAAAACTGTGGGAAAACCAAAGACAAGACGTAATCCGAGAAGGAATATGGGAAAAGTCGATTTTTAACAAGCATCAACAGGCTTCGTATTATCATGTTATCGAAGATAGTCATAAAATCGTCGTTGGCGACAACCATCAAATCGGTATCAAATCTATGAATGATGGAGAAGTTACCTCAGAAGAAAGTCACACAAAGTTATGTGATCTCCTGAAGATTTGTCACCCAGATGATGATAAACTGGTAGATTCTTCTAAGCTTGATAAAACCAAGTATGGACAAGCTTTCCTTGAGATATATGTACCAGAGAATGTCAGGACCGTTCATTATTTTGAAATCGTCGGACAGGACCAAGGTGAAAAATACGGACGAAAGTTGATGATCGATTCAAAGCAGAGACATAAACGTCAAACCACATCTTGGACAGAATATTCAATCAATGATGAATATCTCTTTCCCGACTATAACCAACACGACCACGGCTGTAAGAAAGGGTGGTTCTTTAACAGAAACAAAGTAAAATGTTGCGCAGTTGGTTGCGGACCAGTGGCCTGGGCTATGATTTTAGGTTATTATGATCGACGGTCTCACACTAAGAGTGGAACATATGGTACCGGAAGTCAATCGCTGTACAGATGTAGCTCTGATGCCACTTCTGGATCTTCCAGTTGTAAGGCGCCATCTTATACTACAAGCACAGTAAAAAAGCTAACCGAATACCTAAATGACGAGTTGAAAACATTCTGTTTGAGCGGGCAAGGAGCAACTACGCAAGGCAACATGAAAAGGTTTGAAAGTTACTTCAAATCGCACCAAACGTCGGGTAGTCCTTCTGTAATTGTTCATTCTAAGGGCCTTGTTAGTCTAGTTGGAACATATAATGACGGCATTCGAGATTCAGCTTTGAGCTACCTACGTTCAAAATGGCCAGTTGTTGTTGGTATTAGAGTTAGTGGCATATTTTCACAACACTACCCTGTTGCTACTAAATACAGGATTCGACAAAAACGGGAATGCAAGAAGAACTTCTGGGGCAAGACAAAATGCAAGAATATAACAGAGAGAGACATGTACCTACACATGGGTTGGGGAGGAAGTAGTAATGGTTGGAGGGCAGCTAAAATGTTCTTTGCTGGCGTTGCACGCTACTAAATTCTGATTTATAACTAACAATGTGCTATACGAAATCCATATTATTTTTACTTTGTTATCTAAAATAATCTTGTTATTGTGATTTCTATTGTTTTAAAAGAGATATAGTTTTGTATTTGGTAACTGTCATATAATAACATACAATAACAAACAAACACTATTAACTATCTTGACTCTCCAAGAAAAAACCAATTTCTAATTTACAATGGACGCTGTATTTTCTCCCTGGACCATGAACATCGTCTATCAATCTCTCGAGGTAGCTCTTTGTCCAGATCAGATTTCCAAATTGTTCACATGAAAAAGAACGAACAAAAATTTACTGACTTAGTTCGTAAAAAAAGTCAAAGAGTCGTCTCCATGCCAGGCTCATATCGTGCATAATATTCCAATCATATGGGCGTTGTGACATCATAAGCTTTTACCTTAATACGACTTATGGATGAATGGAAATGGAAACCTGAACTGAAGCAAAAACATGGCTTTATGTGTGATCAGTTGCCTATGAAACTATCAATGCTAATGTGTTTGTTAGTGCTTGGGTTTGATAAAAAAAAAACATCAAAGAGCCTATATTGACTAAATCACAAGAAAAAACTCAAATGATCTACAGATACTCTTCCGACATTTGTAACTTAGCATGAAAAATTGGACTTTGGATGAAAATAACGAGACATGAGAAATCTAAAACCGAAATCTATTAACATTTTGCATTACTTATAGGTTTAGTCATGCACACGACTTGAAAATCACATCGTTCGCAATCATATTAAACAAATGTATTTCGAGACAGAAGCCACAATTTGAAACTACTCTAGAAATAGATTTACGATCTCATTCGGGCAACTACTTCAAAAATATGTGTATGGCAACGTGGCTGCTATGTCAACAAAGATCTGTAATTTCAAGAATTTGCCTGCTCTGATTACAGCATGATTGATATTTTGATGGATAAGGGAGATAACTACAACAGCCACGTCATTCTATAGTCAATAATATCATGCATTCTCAAGAGAAGTATATATCACGATGAATAAATAACAATAAATTTGAATTATTATCTGTCTGCAGTTATTTTGTTAAATTGTACATGCATCAATAAATGTCATTCTCCAAAAAATGCATGAATAAGTTTAATATGATCGACTCTGACGAAAGTTTTAGTGAAATCATTGAATGCACAATAGAACGTTCCATCTTTAATTTTTTTTCAATATTGCATATTTTGTAAATGATTAAGGTGTTATTGTAATCACATGGTTCCAATTGTTCTGCAAATCAAACATATTAAATATATCAACTTGACCATCGAAATGGTAGCTGGCTGAACAAGAACGGTCGCAGAATGGCAACAATGATTATTGAAAGGTATTTCAATGAGAGTTTAGAACTTGGAATTACGGGTTTAAAGCAAACTGGAAACAATTAATTTAAACTTAAATAAGCCTAATGGCCTGGGTGAAGAATTGGAAGACCTTGGGGAGGAATCTACTGCTGCTATTTCCTATTTGGTGAAGTGCGGGTTCAGTACGGTTAATGATGTACTCACAAAGAATTATATCATAATGAACTGAGATTTTAATGAAAATCGAAATCTGAACTGAGTTTTCAGATATCTTGTAAATGTGTGATCATTTGGCTATGAAACTCTATATGATTTGTTTGAACACCGGTTTCATAAATGTGTTTTTATAGAGACTTAATCAGTTAAGGTTCAAGACAGACGAATTTATAAGCTTAATGGTAATTAAAGGGAGATAATATTATAAAAAGAAGGAAATGATATATTTTGACTCGTGAGCAACAACTGACGAATAGGTAAATAACCAGCAAGTTCAACCAACGACACCTCGCGAAGACAATAAGTGTAAGCTGCCAACCAAAACTATACCTTATACATACGTGTCGTTTTTGATACATTGTTCAAAGGCTATTATTTTGCTTTCAATATCCATAAAACTGTTCATATACAGTAGAGATGCATGTGTTCTTTATCATATTCATTATAAAAAATCTTCTAGTCCTAATCTCTAAATTAATCTACATGTCCCCTACTTCATCTTGGAAAAAAAAACTATTATGACTCCTCTGGGAGTTTCCCTACTTGACCCCTATAGCTCTGATCTGCGCCCAATAGATAATGTTTAAAAGCGTCTAGCTTATTATTGTACAATTCTGAAACAGATTTAATCTACAGTGGTGCCTAACAACTTTATATGCTTATTTGAATGGCTAAATTTACGAAAATCTTTTCTTAGTTCCAGAATGATGAGATATAAATTGACAAAATTCAACACTAAACTAAAATTCGCGAAGGCACATTAATAATCATTTGAATGGTTACATTTGTGAACAACTTTTCTTCTATTGAAGGGTCAACTCAATTTTCGTCTGAACAAAGGCATCTTTTGTGAAGCAAATATGGGTTGCTAGTAGCATACAAAAAGACAACGTATGTATATTTCTTGAAATAACCGAAATAGAACAGAATATTAACATTGTGTCAAAGAACATTGTAACATTAATTGTATTATCGAAAATATAAAATGTGGTGTAGTGTGTCAAAATATTAGTCTGATTAAGATAACAAAAGACCTACATATTTGTTGAGAAAAACAACCAGTGTATGCAACAAAAAAACAATAAACAAATAGATTATGAGCCTTATCTTATCAAAAGTATTCCATTAAATATTTTATTTGCTCTGAAATCGTTGAATTATTTTGGTAGGCATATTTTCTTGAAAGCAGAAGGCTATATTCATTATTACTCATATAAACAGCTTTGCAAACAGGAAAATCCCGCGAGGTCAGTTAAGCAAAATTTGTCACGTAACAATGGAAGATAAGAAGATCACGACCAAAATGAGGAACAAAAAGTATTTGGTATTTAAATTCATTACTGAATTATGTTTAGATTGTGAAAATGATGATTTTGAAGACGACTATTTTGATGTGTTGTTGTTTTTTGGTATTTGGTGAATGGAAGAGTATATTACCATGGCAAGTCAAAACAACTTTATTAGAACTGTCTGATCAGTTTGATATCCAATCTATAAGAGGTAAGACATCCATACATTTCAAAGGATTTATATTTTCATTGAAGAGAAAGTTACGAACAGATATAGACTGATTGTTCTCGGTTTCCAACGGTGACATAAAGTAGATCATGGCGAATGTGACAAGATATAATTGACCCCATCAAAAGCATGTAATCCACTGTAATGTTGTCTCTTGAGTAAATGCACTCTTCTATTGATTTTCCTTTAAACTCTTACATGGCTTATGGCAGACAGATGTTTTTAAAAAAGTACCTTTACAAATCAGTCACAGTTGTAAATGTTGGAGATCACGGTCGTATCACGATTTCCTTGATTAAATCCTTCACAATTCAGTGCTGGCCAATAAGATGGGCACGAAATGAGATAGCCATCCTGAGCTAGTCAAGATGCAATTGCTTTCTGTTGATTCGTGGTTTGAATGTCTTAATATCGTCTTTAAACATGGTACCATTATGTTGATTTTCTGTATCCATATACTTTTAGGAACACCAAAACCAATTTATAGACACGATTTAAGAGACGATTATGTAGCATATTGGTATATAGAGATTAATAATGATGGATATGTTATTCTATCATCCAGCCCAAAAACAGGTACATGTATTGTAAATAACCAAAAGTTTCATTATATAAAATATAATATAAAATACTGGTCATAAATAGTCTGAACCATGAGTGAAATATACATTTGAAAAAAATAATTGGATAAATAAGTATTTGAGAAATGTGATTGGAAATTAAGACACCTTGGTATTCTGGTAGGGCTATACGACGATTGTTACACGGACAGCCAGGAACAGGAACAATCCACAATCTACTTCCCTGACAAAGATCCAAATAATCAGAAATGATTGTATATTTGTAGGTGATTATAAACTGGTAATACAAGGTAGTGCACCATCAATGTTAGATCAAGTTGATAAAATAGCGTTGTTAAAGAAGAGTAAATGTAGTAAATATTATATGATGACCCCGACACCAGATATTGATATAGCTTGTTATTCTGATCATGATCAGATGATATTCCATAAGGTAGAGCAGTTCAGACGTCAACTTTTAACAACATATCCTATAAAGTTCTCTCTGAACGTCAATAGCAAAATTGAATTTATAATGCTATGGTGGTTACATTTAACTTTCGGCAGCGATGGACGATGAAAATTTACTGAACTCCTTTCTGAATTAAAATCAGGTCTTGGAGGAACCTTTGTCCTTCAAGAGTTATTGCCAAGATTACTACAGCATCTACCATTAACTTGGTCTATGAGATTATCTATATATCAATGCGACATCCTGTATTGTTATTAATCGGGATGCTGACCACCTTATCTATATGTATGTTATTATTACTTTTAGAATAGCATATATCATACAACGGATGCTCTTAGTACATTTAAAAAACTGTGGGAAAACCAAAGATATGATGTAACCCGAGAAGGTATCTGGGAAAATTCCATACTTAATAAACATCAACAAGCTTCGTATTATCATGTTATCGGAGACAGCCATAAAATCGTCGTTGGCGACAACCATCAAATCGGTATCAAATCTATGAATGACGGAGAAGTTACCCATGAAGAAGTTCAAACTAAATTATGTAATCTTCTGAAGATTTGCAATCCAAAAGATAATACATTGGTTGATTCTTCGAAGTTTGGTAAAACCAAGTATGGGCAGGCTTTCCTTGAGATAAATGTACCAGAAAAGGTTAACAATGTACATCGGTTTAAAATCTCAGGATATTACCTAGGACAGTTTTATGGACGACGATTTATGATCGATGCACAAAAAAGGGAAAAACGTCAAACCACCGCTTGGACAGAATATTCCATTGATGATGAGTATTTGTTCCCCGACTATAACCAACACGGTATTGACTGTAAGAAAGGGTGGTTCTTTAACAGTAACAAAGTAACCTGTTGCTCTGTTGGCTGTGGACCAGTAGCCTGGGCTATGGTTTTAGGCTATTATGATCGACGATCGCACGAGAAGCGTGTAACATATGGTACTGGAAGTCAGTCGTTATACAATTGTGGTGTTAATGCCACTAGCGGTTCTCCTAGTTGCGAAGCCCCATCTTCCACCACAAGTGCAGTCAAGAAGTTAACAGAATACCTTCATTATGAAATGAAAACGTTTTGTTTAAGCGGACAGGGAGCAACAACACAGGATAATATGAAGATATTTGAAAAATATTTCAAATCACACCAGAGATCTGGCAATGCTTCTGTAACTATCCACACTGAGGGGATATCAAGCTTTGTGGGAGCATACAATGACGATATTCGAGATTCAGCTTTCAGCTATCTGCGTTCTAAATGGCCAGTTGTAGTGGGTATTAGAGTGAATGGCATCTTTTCACAACACTACCCTGTAGCTACTAAATACAGAATACGACAAAAACAAGAATGCTCGACAAATTGTACCACTTCAACAGAGACAGATATGTATCTGCACATGGGATGGGGCGGAAGTAGCAATGGTTGGAGGCCCGCTAAGATGTTCTTCGCTGGTGTGGCACGCTACTAAAACGCCAAAAAGTCTTCATAAAAATCTTGAAATACATTCATACCAAAAATGACCTTTGTTATTATTTCAAATCATTATGGGGTTGATTAAGTCATCGCATTTGTTTTCCCCGCTTGCTATATATATATAAACTATTTACGTTTCGATAGATGTTTAGTGAACTATTTGTTATTAAATAATGAGATTTCAAGTTTACTATTGCCGAGTGTAGTTTTGAACTAACAGCTCCTTCAATGACCTTTAATTCAGTTTAGCAGAGTTTTATTTAAGATTCAAACCCAAAAGCGCTGGAGTAGAACGACATCGTATAGTATATAAAGGCTCATAGAGTGACATCCAGTTGGCACTACCTTTCGTGGTGTTTTGTTATTTTTCTTCCGAACCAGTATGTCATATCAATTGACTGTATTATGCAAGACAACACTGTTAAATTCGTGACTACAAATGGTGACAACTTTGATGCTATTCGGTAACGATTGAAAGAAAATTATTTCAGATCATCATGGATGGGAGGTGTATAGAAACAAGCAGAAAAAAGAACAAACGAAACATTCAGATTTGATTGAATTTTATTCAGATTGATTTTATAGTCTCATCGAAGTGAATAGAGGTTCCAAATCGAAACGATAAAACCCTGAGTACGTGATGAATTTTTTATTTCCGTAGGTTCTTTCCTGATCACAACTTAAAGGTAGGCAAAATGATGATAACCAACAACAATCAGATGAATGGGCGGTACAGTACATCAATTGACACACAAGTTTATATTTTCCTCGGTATATTGTTGCGTCTGTTTGTTTAGTTCCTTTACGTCTTCTAAAAGGTTTTTGATCTCCCTTTGTCTGAGTTCTGATTGTTTTATAGTTTTGCTGAGAGATCCAGTTGGTGACGATTCTCGACTTGTGCCAGGCACGGGACTCGCATTGTCCAAGACAATGTCAGGCATAGCCACAATGATTTGTTTGCAAGGAGATGTAAATGTTTGTTTTTCAATGTGACGACCTTCGTTGTATTTATTTTGAAAGTTGTCGTTAAGATTACTGTTCAAGACTGACAACGTACTATCTGATTTGTATAGAATCTTCGGAAGTCTTGGAGGTAATTTTATATTTTGTGCATTCCATCCTATATTTGATCCCCGGTGAGATCTTGCGAGCTGACGTCTAACAGTTGATAAGGTCAGCCGTTGGTGGTAAGAATTCTTATCCTCATACAAAGTTAAACATTCGGTAAAAATTTGGTCGATATTCATACGATCACCGTCAGGTACGGGTTCAAATTTTACTTGTTCGATACATCGATCTCTTGGGGTACATGCTAATAGAGGACGTAATCGTGACCTCGTCGAGGTAACTTTAGCCTGTTTCGATCTAGGTGTTAGCTTTCTAGATAGAGGTTGACTCGGAATAACAGACGGATCCCTTTTGTCTGTCTTACTAGGTGTTAAAGAAATGATTGGTGACTTGCGTAGATTTTGTGGCAAACGAGGAAGATTTAATTTTACAGTCTCCAGAATTTGTAGCTTTGTTGCATGTTTTTTTCGTTTGGGTAAGTATGGTTTTAACTGTTGGCTTCTCCTTGTAATATTTCGGCCTTCAACTAGAGTGGTAAGGGGAGATAACTGACTTGGATGTTCAAATCGAATGTGATCAAGTCTTTCAAATAACATCGGAGTCTTTCTTGACAATTTTGATTTTCTAGTTTGATGCTCAACTCGAACTTTTTCCATTTGTTCTTCTGTACGCTGCTGTGCAATACGAAAACGCTGAAAGTCTTTAAAAAGCTTCTTGTGTTGTTCGACTAAAAGAGAATCCCGGAGACTAGCAAGCTGGTTTAGATAAAGCGACTGTTTTGGGAATATTACCAACGATTCATTGTTATTGAATGTGTTAGATTCTCTTACTCTGTCCCTTTGTTTCTGTAAAACTCTTTCAGAGAACCTGAAATGAAAGAAAATACATGTATATGACATTTTGAATATCGTGTTAGGATCAAGTCATCACTGCCATACTAACCACACCAACCCAAATGACCCAGACCGAAGGTAACATTTGCGCAGGGTTTGGTTGCACGCATCATAGACATTTTCACATCGCACCGAAATTGAAGCCTAGGATGGAATAGTGAAAGATTAAAAAATATTTTTGTAATTCTAGAATAATTGCTCCAGGTGGTCGGATAGACCTGATAAACGGCTATCTCGTGGAATATTAAATGAAATTAAATGAAATAAACAAAATTGCACTTGTAAATATCAGTATCAGTATAATAATAATTATATTGTTTATTTTCGTCAAATATCATTACTGTGTGTTTGTAAACTTAAAGATAGCTTGCCAGGCAAGGTAACATACGCCCACTGGCAGCTGTCAGAAATGATTAAACAGTCTTTAGTGACTAAAGGGTTGCACAATATAGCTAATAGAGTGAAACGTCAAGTCAGACACGATATTTCGGTGAAAAATTATCCGATCATCATGAAAATCAATAGGGATCATCTTCATAATGACATTGACACAGAAACTAAAAATCAAAAGAATCTGTAAAAAATTGTAGCCTGTAGAGTGAGCACGAGTTGCACAATATAGCTAATAGAGTAAAACGTCAAGTCAGACACGATATTTCGGTGAAAAATTATCCGATCATCACGAAAATCAATAGGGATCATCTTCATAATGACATTGACACACAAAATAAAAATCAAAAGAATCCATAAAGAACTGTAGCCTGTAGAGTGAGCACGAGCCAAATGTGAACGGACGGCGGACGGACCGACGGACCGACGGGGTGATTACAATATACGCCCATCTTACGTGTGGGCGTATAAAAAGGTGGCTTAACACCGCAACAAATACTGCAATTCACACAAAATAATAGGTGTATGTAACGAGTATGTAAATCACTAAAATATTCCTTTAACTACCATCAAATCTCAACTTTCCGATAAAATTTCTCAGTTCATGGCGCTGCACGTCCTTCTGAGCCCAATCTTCATTTCAGTTCATTTGATCATACCCTCAAGAAAATTAATCATCTTCTCAGAAAAATTTCGATTGATATGATAATGATAAATTTAAATGATTTTGTTACGAAGATGGATTTGGTTAAAAAAGGGTTTGTGATATTGAATATTTTAGAATAAAAACCTACCCCATTGTATCATTTGAAACCGACATTTTATAACTGACCGGCGAAATCCGTGTCGATTCCTTGATAATATAGCAATAAATTACAGATATTGTCACAAAACTTGGCTATAAAGGTTTAAATCACATATTTATTACACAACAGATCAAATGCAATGCGTCAATAACAACTTTTGAAACCTGTGTAATCATGCAACACAGTATGTGATCAACGGCGGAATGTTTTTATTACCTCCAACACAAAGGAACGGAGATAATACACGGTATAACAATAAGGTGGTCGTATTATGTGCATTTCTTTTGACATAAAGTTTGAATAGAAATTTGTATTTATTATCTCGAACATGATATTAATACGTTTATTATTACTGTCAGTTAAAGCTGTGAGAAATTGGAGAGACATAGCGATTTGGGAAAAAAGACAATAGGTTACCGGTACTTCAGTCTACAAACATATGACCATATCAGTTATTCGCTTAATTTAATCTGCTTTATTTTCGCCCGAAAAGATGCATAAAATCGTAAGGTTATACGATTTGGTCAGAGTTTAATTCCATTTCCTATTTATATGTACTAGTTGGTAAGTCTGCGGAAAAAGACTTACACAGAAATCACAAAAAACATGTTGGCCATTGATTGAATTTTCTGAGTATCGTTAACCAGACGTTTCGTCAGATATGACACCCCTTTCACAAATCTTACGACAACAGTTTATCGTCTTTAATATGCAAATTAACAGTAAATTTTGAATTATAATCAATACTTACTGTTTTTCACCTAAAAGATGGTTACGTCCATATAATTGGAAGTTGAACTGAACGACCAGATATATATGGCCATGAAATGGATTTAAGCATTCTTTCTATTTCGTATAAACCTTAAACATCATGATTATTTATTGATCCTTCCTGCTCGTGGCAAATGTTCGATTATGATATAAACTAATATTAATATATGGAGGCGTAATTGATGAAATAAATACTGTACCGATTGATCTGACCAATATACTCAGTTATATGCCTTATTTCATTTAGGAATTAAGGATTCTTGATTTGAATTTGACAATTAAGCTAAAGTTTGGTGGATTGTCAATCCGAGACACGTTTTGGCAGCATGATATGAGCTCAAGTCAATTAGATATATATATCCAGGTTGTCCAGAAAAAACGACAATACTTTGAAATTTTTTACGAGGTATTTTAAAAATGCTGCCAATTCGAGGCTTTTTACCGTATGAAGCTAATTTTTGTAAAAATATGTGAAATATATCCATATTGATGAGGTACAAATAATATATTTCCGAAACGAAAAGTGTTATCGTTTTTCTGCGCCACCCGATATACTGTAGAACAGTCGCTTCTTATCAGTGAGTTCGCTAACTTTGAATGTTGTTATCCCAATGAGGATTGTTTATTCGAAAACACGCAAAGTTAGCATTACAAGATCTCTTGTCCATTTAGACATCTTGTGGTAACCAGTAATAATAAATGCTCATTCAAGCAACCCTCGACAACTACACTTATTCATATATACCCATATGGCGAACACTCTACTTCAATATCGTATATTGACAATATAATAAGAAAAAAATGATAAGACAACAACCCAGATAAGTGATTATTTTATAGACTCTATTACAAGAAGTTCCATTGCTCATGTAACTTCTGAACAACAGAATAGACTGAAACCTTGTCCTGTTTTGGGAAGAAAATATACCTACATTATCTAGCTATCTATACCTATCTAGCAGCTGGATTTGGACATGATTAATTTTGAAAAACCTTGTATTTAGTTTATTAATCTTTAGTCTGAAACTCGTTATTAATACTAAAATATCCCCAGTTTTATCCGATATATTATCACCTGTTATATATGAGGTTATTAACTCTGTTTATAATTACATGAATTATTGCATCCTTGGTAATTATCATTTTTTATAATTATTGTAATTAGTTTCAACACGCCATTTTATAAATCACAATAAACCACTGAAAAGTATTAATCGTAGCATTGTCCTGCAAAAAAACACCACGAAGAGGCGTGTGTAACTGTGGGCGAATGAAGCTATACAGACCATGGATTCATTTGTTGGAGTCGTTTGGTAAAAACTGATATTAAATAACAGCTGAAATCAGTTCCTCTATTCACGTTTGCTTGAAATTTATAAACTCTTTGAATTAAAGATTTGGTGATTTGCCATATCAGATAATAAAATATTGTGTGTAGTTCGAAATGTGGTGCCTATGAAATACTGTAGAGCTGACAGCATTTCCATGCATGATTCAAATTCAATTGTAATAACACTCTATCGAAAACTCAAAAACTTTGTACAGAAAAATTAACACTGGTTCAGGTTGGCATGGGTACCCAAGGAAAGATTCTTCTTCTCACATCAATTTTTTAGCACCTTGTATCATTTCAGTTTTTTAGCACCACGTTTCGGAATGGCTTTTTCTCCACAATCTTCACACTGAGGGTAATATCCCCCCTTTTTTCTTGTGAATTTACGGAGGCACAATATATACAAATTGACTCGTACCCAGCTGAGTAATATGTGTACTCAACCTCTGATCTAGATTTGACAAAGATTTGCCATCACAAAAACATACATTAGTACATTCTGATCATCACCCTCTTCACCACCATGGTACAAATCCTCAAAAGTACTTCCACAACTATACAAAATCGAATCCAGAATGAGAGCAAGTTCATCACGTTCTTTTTGCTTGAGCACCCTTTTGGCACGAAGACATCTCCACAATCCGCACATTGTATGAATGTTCCTAGCCGACTGAACTGTTGGGTTAAATGGACATTGGTTACCTTTTCAGGAGTTGCCTTGGCAGATGGTAGGAACTTTTCTGTCGTTTCAACCTGCAAAAACATTTACGTGAAAGAGTAAAGTTGAACTTTAAAATTGACTTTGTGACGTAAATCTTTAACCTATTAACGTAATATCATTGAGCAGCAGTGGCAGGTGTGGCGCCAAGCAGGGTATGCTAACTCTTCTAGACACCTGATACCACTTTTCATTTTGAAATATTTACTCATTTATTGATACACTTCCTAAAATGTAAAGTTCATTAGCTACTACCAATGTATTGCCAATGTGTTTACATGGATTTCGTTTTTCATTTGGTTTGGTGTGTTTTACCAAGTGCTGGCGGTCTACTAAGCAGGAAAAGACCCAACACTTGGTCAAAATTACTCCATTTGGCAAAGTTATGTTAGGTGTGATTTACCAAGTGCTGGCGGTCTCCTGAGCAGGAAAAGACCAAATACCTGGGAAAAATAAGCTCATTTGGCAAAGTTAAGTCTTGGCATTTTCGCACTAAGTGGCCTATAGAAAATTTCCATTTTATTTCCGTAATTGTTTTTCATTTGGTTTTGTGTGTTTTTTCGGAGTCTTTAAAGCGTTCCGATCTCAGTCCGGAACCGTCCGCGATAAAATGGGCAAATTTACATTACAGTAAACTAAAGTGGTCCGAGAACGGTTGTAGTGTAAATGAAAAGCGTTTTCGGCATGTTTATTTGCTTAAAGAAGTTAAAAAGTAATCCTTGTCACCCCGATGAAATCAAAGACACCTGGATGTTATAACATCTTCGCTAGAAAAGTTGAAGGTCGCTTGTGAGGTATTCACAGTAAAGCGTTCTCGGAACGAAAACTGTTTTCATTACACGAAATTATCGAGTCCGTTCTGAAAACCGTTCCGAGACCACCTCCTAGGGTTAAAATTGGAGCGGTTCTCAGAACACCTCGAACGATTTCATAACACAGAAAGCGTGCATTCCGTTCTGAGAACGAGTAATTTTTGTGATGTGAAAAGGGTTTTAAACTCCGAAGACATAAAAGAGAAAACATTGAAACTTTGTTAAAATGAACAATGTTTAATGATGTCAGTTATCTTTCTCTCAGTCTCCTTTGTTTCCATATTGTTCGTTATTTTTGTTTGACTCCTGGACACCCCTTGGCGTCAGTATTCTTGGAGTAAAATGGAGAGTAGTTTTATATATCTGTTCTGTTTGGAAACGAAAATGGAAGCAGGTAAAAACAGGTGCATTTTGGTGGTTTCTAAAATAGATTTTAATTAGTGTGGTTTGTATTTCTCAAGTTGAAGTAACACACTAATCTTATTAGTATTTTAAGAAACCGGTGCATTAAATTAGGGCTCTTACACACAGTTCCAGAGTATTTTATAAGTGTGGTGCCATACTATATTGTCAACATCATAATCTCATATGACGTAATAATTTGTTAGTAAAATCTACTGTATATAAATCAGTGATAATTTAATAAATAAACATGAGTTTGGTGCGGATTCTTAAAGAATTTAGCTTGCGAATATCTCCCATAAAAACGTAGTTTAAAATGTTTCCTAATCATTGCGGGTGTTTGTTACATTATTCTTATCATAATATAACTCCCTTGAGCCTTTAACATTGAATAAAAATATTTCCATCAGTTATCCCCCTTGTACTATTACACTTTGGTCTGTGAAGTCATTGTTTTTGTTGTTTTTTACCTTCCTGTTTGGTATGGGTATGCTTTCTCTTCTGACAAAACTTTTTGTTATGAAACACTTACTCACTTATGGCAGATATTATACTTCCTCGTGTGAAAATATGTTGTTTTGGTTTTCGTTTTGCGGTCCGGATCTTGAAATCATGCAGACCTGTGTGCACTACAGGTATATATTTTAGTTGATGTATCCAAAGAAACAAATGCTATCGACGTCAGCTATTTCCTGTTTGTTATGACCTTCTTTAAGGTGAAAACTAATTTATCAACAACTGTAAAAACTGAGATTTATTTTTTCACGTGCTCCGTTTAGTTACGCCTTTTTTAAAAATAACTCAAATGTTTAACTCTTTGTCAAAAAGCCAGGATCGAATAAATCTATGATTATAGTACTTTTGTAGTGTTAGTCCGTTCATGTAATTCAAAATAGACATACTAAACATATTCATTAGACGTCCACGTGCACAGATCTGTATCATCAGCTGTTAAAGTTTGCTATGTATGTATTCTTC